GAGTATCTTAATTTAACAGGTTCACCATCAGAATGGCAGCGACGTGTGAAAAGCTTCCCCCTTTGATCCGATACAACAGATCCCCCGAACCCAGCAGGACCAAATCTGTCGACTATATCACTTCTGCCAGTTGACAAATAGGTCACTCAACAGTCCGCAGGTCACATCTCAGTGTTTATATGACGGACAGTAAGCATGGATCTATTTACAGCCAGCTCGCCATTCTTCAAACCGAAGCCACCAAAATGTCCGAAACGGTGGCGGTTTCTGTAAAGTTTGCTTTCTCAACTGTGGTTTGAGCAAACTTTGATATTGACCTTTCTTATCTCCGAAGCCCTGTCATTGTTGTCCGTAGATTATGTTATAATAACGTGCTTGGAAGATGTGTTGCACTTTTCGTCTTCTTGATCGCTACTCACCAGACCCTTTAGTCGCTCACATCATCGCTACCACCGTCCAGATTCTGCTCTCAGCCCTTGATTCTAGGCCAAAAACGCGCATTGCACTGTTGGAACTATCAAGTACACCCCTACAGATTGGTTTGGACGTACTGCAAGATGGCCGACGGAGTCATACCCGATTCTTGGATGACTGAAAGGGACCGTCTCATCAGGGTCAGCGCCATGTCTGACTCTTTGGCCACTGGATCCATCCATTATATCGTCACTATCACGCTCGGCAAACTGTTCAGGTATTTGATTCTACCACACAAGCCAACATTTGTACGACGTGTACGACAAATTCAGAGCACCCTGCGGTTACCGGACAACATGCGGATCACAAGCGACGTGGGAGATGGCATGACTGACAGCTTCTGTGTGGAAGGCATCGTGGGACTGTTCGTCATCAGCTTGGTCTTCTTCTCCATGTTGGCGATGTCCACATGCATGGAGGACCCCCTAATCACCGTATCCGACGCATTTTACTTTCCCATCCTCTTCCTAGGAGTATGGTGGGCTTGTGTCAGAGCCTCCCGGATAGGGGCTAGTTAGAGGTAGTAAGGAGTCCAAGCAACAAAGGAGCAGCTCAGATATATATACAGCGCAGGGAGTACACGTCGAGGGAGGAGCAGATTTCAGTAATTCATCATTCTACCCCTAACTGCAGTTGGCCTCTGAGAGCTTCCACACTGCGTCAGTACCGCAACTTGACAGCTTGCGGCATCGGTTCTCGCTGGATGATGGAAAACAGGCAAGTTTACATCCGGGCGAGGCGACAGCTCTGGGGGTAGGCTGGACATTCCCCAAGAGTCAAATGTGAGAGGCAACAAAGCCCGCACGTATATGTGCTAATGCTCGGGGCTGAGTAGAGACCGGAGTCTCTATAGCCATAAGTATTATAGTATCAGTGCGCGCGCTCCTAAGCGTGGCCATCGCGGCCTGCCAGGATATATCGCATACGCACTCTCTCTCGAATCAAGTAAAGCTGCATGTGCGCTCCCAGAAGCGCGGCTGATGCGCCAACAAGTTCCGGCTCACAAACACGACGCTAATGTTGGCTTGCTTCATGTGAACTGAGGATCGAAATCTTCGTCGATGTAACAAGCGATCCGCCTTACCTACAATGTCGGGTCAAAAGTCTGGTCTCAGCAATAACACCCCCCCCCACCAGGGCCCAACCACGTAACCACCAAATCGGTTACAGAAACGCATTGTCAAACTCATAGGAATAATTCTTTAGATTCCACAATAAGACAGAATCGTTCCTAACTCGAAGTCCCGTAAAACAAAATTTGGCGGGGGAAGTTGGGTGCAATGCTTCTTACTATGACCAGACTTTTGAGCCAGTTTGACAGCTCATATAGACAATATTAGCAAATGGCTTTTGACACAGAGCATACTCTATAGACCAGAAGCGGCTTCCTTCACTTTTATATTCGCGTTAGTGCTCCAGCTCGGTCCGGCCCCTCATCTGTGACTTCAAGTTCGGCGAATCACTACCCAGGCACAAGGCCAAGTACGGGGTCCTGATAAGACAACGCAGGATACGACTCACGTCGTTCCATCTGATCCATACGTGCCTGTCTTGCATAGTAAGAAGAATTGCGTCGCACCAAACCCATTATCATTGGCTATGTCCTCTGGCAAATGCAAACCTGTTTCACTCGGGCCAAAAGCTTCCAAGGCGCCATTGAAACCGTGAAAGACCAAAAGGCTTATGGGATGCCGCTTATCCACATTCACTACGAGTGTTGCTACTCTTAGGTAGTTCTGTCGACCTATGACACACAGATGAGGGCATTGAAAACACGAATACGTGGATGCAAATTCGCCTTACCTTCGTCAAGCCATGGCACTAGGCCCCTTCAATTACAGAGGCTTTATGAAATCGTCGATTCGCTTCCTCAACCACCTTCCTCTACCCTCTACCATCGCCTCACTGGCAAAAGTTCATCGTCGTACTTGTCAAGATGTTTGTCACGGAACGGTTGAAAGATCAGGGGTCCGTGATATCAGAGCGAAAGGGGCTGGACACAGAGAAACATGTATCAGATCTGTCTATGAAAGCCGTCGCAGAATACCTCCAGACGACAGTGTATCAATGTAATATTTGCCAAGACATGATAGTCTTTGATCCTCATGGAAGCACCCTCGGCATCGATGAATACTTTCTCTCCCTTTCAAAAATGAATGAGAAATAATGTTGGCTTTGTGAGAACCTGGTTGGCATAATGTTCGCAACTACAAGTTCTTCAACGAGCGAGGAAGTGCGATTATATACCCGGACCTAGATTCATTGATCCAAATGGGACTCAACGAGGTTCGTAAGTCAATGCGGAGTGATCCTCCCCTTAGTGACGTGTTCCGTAAGGCAAACAATCTGATTCGTGTGTCGATTTCAACTCGTACAGCGCGGTTGCTGCGGCTTGAGTCAAACTAGCGAGCAATCACTGTATCCATACTAACGTGACCTACCTCACGACTTCTAGTCATTTCAGAATTGATGAACTCTGGGCAGAAAGATTAGTAAATCTCGCATTGAACAGAGCTGCGCTGAGACTGACTCGAAACACTCGACCCGATAAGCCCGGCGAGGCCAAGAGTCAATACATGTACTCACTCATAATTATAATCTCGCTGATTTGGAGTCTGGTGACGGCGAATGGTCGCATAGCGGAGAGCCATGCTGAGTTGATCGGCGGTTATCTACCATCTCTGACGCTGATTAGATGGCGATGTGATGATTCTACTGGAGCCTCGAGCCGATCTGTTCCACAACCCCATGGGCCAAAACTCCGCTCAGAACTAACAACTGGATAATCTGAATATTGGAGTTTGAGACCTGTAATTTCCCTGTACGCCATGTCTGAAGAGGAGTTTCAAAGATAAGAGCATGTTAAACAGTTAAGGTTCTTGTCGTCAATTCTGCCCGTCATAAACGACGAAAGTGAAGTTCTGCCTTCGAGTCCTCCTCCGCGTCAGCACCGGCCAAATCGTCGGGCTCACCGAGTCAGTTCGTCTGCCCACCACAGGTCAGAGTGTTCGGGCCCAGACTGCGCCCGATCGGCCGAAATACACGTGCGCGGCCCCAGAGATTCTGGGTTGCGGACGCGTGACTCCGCCCGAAAGTAAGAAAGAAATCCTCGATGTGGACAACTTTTCCGCAATACGAGTAATGGCAACACGTTTTCACGTTTTCGGCGCATTGTCCACCGCCCGTTCCTTGCGCCCAGCCACAACCACGTCTATTCTTGGCCAAGACGGAGATGTGAATGGGCATTGACTTGTGCTGAGCAGAAAAAGATAGGGATGAAGGGTTGGGGAAAGGGAGAAAATGCATACGCCAATGCTTTTTTGCGCTTCGTATAATACGAGTCAACATATCAGTGTCTATATAGCATGACACATAATCTTCGTACTCATATCGACATAACCACCCTGATGGTCAAAAATAGCAGATCGCCCACCTTGAGAGACAACGATTCTCCAGCAAACTTCATTCCGCGGAATCCGAGCACAAAGAGAATAAACAAATCACAATTAATGATGCGATAAGTATGATCGAATAAGAGCGGGCACGTGTTGGCATGCCAAAAAAGGGGATTCTTCATTCAGGAAGTTCAGGGGCGTGACATTGTAGGCCAGAAATAAATCTGGAACGTTAGACTTGTTGACTGTGCAGGACAGAACCAGGACTCTTGCAGGGTTTCTGGTTGCTAGAGAGTCATGTCAAGGTAGACCCCAGTCACAGCCACGCAGTCCCGCGAAGAGTCCCACCGTCCCATGTCGTCTCCATCATCCGCCATCCCGAATCGGGCGCGGATGCTACTGAATATGTCCCCTTAATTAGAGTTTCGCCAAAAGCATGCTGGGACTTCCTCTCCAGTTGACGTGCTGCTCATCACGACATTTGGTCTAGAATAGAATTGGTTTTGGCATGTCAACCTTCCCACTGGCTCTCGAATGGGCAATTGAAGGAACCCATCATCTCCATAACAAATCTTAAGACACTTACACCGAAACCCGGATTTGACCGAGTACGGATTGGAGCTTGTTATCTAATCGTACCTGAAGAAGCAGGTAATCCTTGCCTCGATTCCAGGCTGTCGGTGCGGGTCGTCCTGTCGCTTGACGATAGCGCGTTTTGAAGCGAGCTGCTAAGACAGATGGTTGCAAGCGGTATGTCGAAAATAGAGGCGCAGCTCATCGGCAGCCCCGCGGGCGGGATGTCACGGTATCAGTTCAGATGCGCGAGTCCAACAATGCGAGCCAAGTTCGGGTATCCGTATGGAGTACGTAGAGCTATGGGACTCCAAATGAAGCGAGCTCCAGTCTTCTAGTGACACTCTCAACTTGGAAGAACATGAAGAGAAACCAAGGGTGTGAAGAGTGGTGTCAGTGACCTTTCGAGATCTTATCGTATGGCTGCGAATGTGGTGATTGTAGTCGTGATTCTTCACGTCAAGGCTCGATTGTTTCGGCTGATTTGCACTCTCACTCGATATCAAGGAAACAGGTATAACGAATTAAGTGAAGCATGTGCAGGGTGGAACTTTCAAGTAATTGCAAAACATGCAGATCTATTTGTTTGATTTATGGACGACGCTCAGAGAGCGCCGATCATATTTACGACTCGCAATGCCACACATCTATAGGTATTGATACGAAACACCAGCAACGCCTCGAATTTCGTGAAAAACTAAACGGACCAAATTTTCCACTACCGCTGTTGTAAAAGCCACCTCCCCAGATCAAGGCAGCCTCTTGTTTCATTCCCCTCGAAGGCACCACGATCCAGAGAGCCGGCTAAGGATGGTGGGTGTGGAGTGCATGATGACTGGGCTGTTTTCATCCAGCCTTATGAACAGGCTGGCCTTGCTAGTGTGAAGGAGGAGAGGATGGCTTCCCGAATCTTTAGGCCCCCCAGGATATCTCTAAGCGAGAGACGCTTAGCAGCTGCCGCGGACATCGTCGGGGTTGGCCTTGCAGTACAGGCCCTTGCCGTCGGCGCAGTCGAAGCCGGTGTTGGCGATATCGCGGCAAGAAGCCTCCCACTCCTTACCGGCGAGCTGATCGCTGGCGGAGTTCTGGACGCACTATTTACTTGATGTCAGCGCTGTGGTCTTGATGTAAATGTGTGTAGTGAGATAAACTTACACGTCCGGTCTCGTTGTTGTAGGTGCCCTTGCCCCACTGGTAGTTCTTGGTGGCGTAAAGCTCGCAAGCCTTGATGGTAATGCGCCAGTTGTAGCTGTCACCGTTGTTACAGGCGCAGTTGTCGTGAAGATCGGCAGAGCTGATTCAATGTTAGTTGGGTGCTCTGAGGACCTTGAGAGTCTGTGTTGAGACTTACGCAACCGAGAGGAGGACGAAGAGAGAAGCAACCTTGGCGATGGAGAACTGCATTTTGGTGGTTTGGGTGTGTTATTTGTTGTGTAGTTGGTAAGGTAGTGACTGTAACGGAGGTGTTGTTGAAAAGAATGAACGGAGTTGGTAGATAACTGGATCTGGACCGAAGAAAAGAATGTGTGGAGTTTGATGAGGATGGAGATAAACTTCATTATATCGGGGAGGAACCTATGGAGGTTTATATCCACGGTCATAACATCCGAGTTGACTTACAACGAGTCACGGCCAAGCTCTGTTTCCCAATAAACAATCTATCGCATTCGGATAACCAAGGTCATGCTCTGACGGTCTGACCAACATGTTCGGCAAAGGGACAAGGACCATCATCCATGATCCCACTGCCAGGCAAGCCAAGTCCCACTTCCGCGCGCCTTCGTCGGCGCGCGCTCGTCTCCAAGGTCCGTAAGACCCGTGGCCCGCAATAGGAGTTTGATCATCATTGAGGAGTGGACTCACCGTGTGGATGAATGTGACCTCTGGGCGCCCCTCTAGGCGGTGCAGCTATTCAACAGGGCTCTTTCTGTAGACCATCCGTCATCAAACTTAATGTGTGTTCTAAAGAGGAAACTCCCAGGGTTAACCTCAGCCCTTTGGAGCTCGAACGTCTTTGAGTCCTTGCTAGCTGGGCTGATTGAGACCATGTGCGCCCATCTGCGTCTAACACGGGCATCTTGGCATTAGGGGGGACTCTATGGGGTTTCTACAGGGGAGAAGACGCGCATGAGCAAATGATCTCCAGCCGCCTTCTGCATTAGGCTATATAAGGGGTCATGGATGGCGTTGCATGAAACGGTGAGTCGGGACCACTTGCGGTTGTCGACTGACTCGTAGCCGCTCCCGCGAGTCCATTGGATCAGATGACTACGTGATACAACCCCAGAACCGCACATTACTCACGCGCACAACACCATCCGCCGCCCGGATCCGGCGTCTACCATCTCAATGTGAAACTGCTACGCCCTACATACCTATCTATGCCTTGTTGGTGTTCGTCCCATTTTCCATCATTAGCCCAGCCCATCTGATATCCAACTCTTAGCCTCTTGCCCAGCATCCCATCCGCACGCTCTCCCCCACAACGGGACCTCACCGATCGCCGCCCTGCCACGATCCGAGTCAGCGCATAGTCGTACTGCCGCTGGACCTGCTTCAGTCATATTGTTCAGGTTGATGATAACAAGTCCTCCTAAATGGGATTTTGATTATGTCGAACCTATCGCACCCTGACCGGCTGGCCCGATCACCACGCTCTGGTGTCATGGTGGAAATGCCGGCAGCCCCGTAGGGATTCTTGGCAACGATATCCATTCCAACTCCTTCGGCCTGACGAGCGCGCGCATGTGCGCTTCCCCGTGGATGCCATGGAGAGTCATGGACATGGGCGGGCGGCTTGACAGACGCAGAAGCCGCCTGGCAAACATCAGAGAGCGAAAGTCCAAAGTCTAAGTTCGTAACTGGGGAACATTGTGTCATCCACATGCTTAAACATCTCAACACGAACATTGTATAAGAACACCTTCTTCCCTCCCAGAGATTCGGAATATCTTCTACTTGCATCATCAGTCTATTCTCCAATAGACTTCCTTCCCCACATTCTTTTCTCAACGAGTCACTAAGCAACTCTTCAGTCTTTACTTTTCAAAGTCGCTCTTTTGCAAAGAACCACCACCCACTTTCCATTCTTTTCAACCAACTACCAAACCATCAAGATGCGTTTCTCCGTTCTTACCGCTGCCGGCCTCATTGGCGCTGTTGTCGCCGTCCCGGCTCCTAGCTCCGCTCCCCTCAACTTTGACGATGTCATCGTTGTTGGCGAGGACGGCTCCCATACTGTCATGAAGGCTTCCGAGTACGACGCTCTTGAGCGCCGTGCCGCCCTTCCCGTCGCTCCCGCCCCCGCCCTCGGCGACGTTCTCTCCCGCCGCGGCTGCGACGAGTCCACCGAAGTCCAGGTCCTCACCGACGAGGAGTTCCTCAACTGGGACATTGCTGTCTCCCCCGTCGTCACTGCTGCTGGCAACGACGTTGCTGTCTCCGTCGACAGCGGCTACTCCCTGGCCAACTCCGTCTCCGTCACCGCCGGCCTCTCCACCAGCATTGCCCAGATCGCCCTCGGTATCTCTCTGTCCGTCAGCTACTCGAAGACCTGGACCACCACCCAGTCCCAGAACCTCCGTTTCACCGTCCCCGACGGCCAGTACGGCCTCGTCGTCTCCCAGCCCAACGTCCGCCGTGTCACTGGCAACATCTTCTCCGGATGCACCGACAGCCCCTCCGTCGATGCCTACACCTCCGACACCTACGCTGACCAGTCCTACGGCAACCTTGCCTGGGTCAAGGGTGTCATCCGCCTTTGCAACAGCACCTCCTACCCCGTCCCCTACTGCATCGGCAAGGGTGAGCACAAATAAGTGGCTCGTAACAATGCCACGGCTCAGCCCGCTGCCACAAACGCTCGTGCGGTCATCGATACCCCTAGGACCTGCCGAGAAACCATTTGCCAACTTTGCGAGAGAGCCCATCAAATCTCAGGGACGTCTGGAACGGATAGGAGTTTTGGAGGTCTTCTCTTAGAACCACCGAGGATACGCACGATATAATGCCAATACACCCTTGTCCTTGATACCACATCCCGCACATCGTCTTTGCGAGTTATGCTTGTTCTTTGTCTTGTTTTTGCGTATAGAATTGGGAATAGAATTATGGATAGATCTCATTCAAGCGTTAAAGTTACTTAAGCATCGTTGAATACTACTGCAAGTGAGACCAGTGAATAATGTTGGTTCTATCATCCGTATTCCTTGCCAACTTCTCGATAATGTGACATTGCTTGCGGGTCTATAGTCGAACCTGTCCCCCTTACTTACCAAGGCTGAGACCGCATCCGTATTTGCATTTGCTAAGGGGTATCCGTTCGATACGTACCCGTCGTGTGTTTTCGATGAAGCCTCACTTAATTGGGACTTGGCTCTCGAATGCGAATCTGGGGCTGTCCCAAGCCGCAACACTGAATCATGACAGACAATCACATGAAGACAGTTTGGCATCTACCGTTCATGTTCCGAGCTCCGACGATTAATGTTCCTTGCGTACATGCCCTGAAACTTTGAAAGGTCGTTTGACACTTTCCAAGCGGTGAAGGAAAGCTGACAACGCCGGGGTCAATGTCCAGAAGTTTGGGTCGCTAAAAAGTGAAGTCATCTCCATTAGATTTGGGCAGGATTTCCTGTTTGTCACAACAAGCACTCGGTATCCGAATGAGAATTTGGAGAACCCCACGTTCGGGTCAAAATGAGGTGGTCCAGTGATTAATGATTCCCGTGCGAACGGTGTTGGCCGGAATTATTCTCGCGCCTGTGGGAGGGCTAGCATGCGCGGCACATGCAAGGTACGTGCCAACTTCTGTCCCTCAATGTTGGTCCCTTTGGGCACGCAGCCCCTAGCCGTCCAGGGCAGCCAAAAGGGGGATGGGATGCCCCCAGAGTCAAGGGTCCTGCGTCTGGTGGATCTACTGGGGTTGGTGTCATCGACCTTCCCCTTTCAAGCACCAAATCCGACACCAACTGGGCCGTGTCTCCGATGGAAATGCCTCGATGCAAGATGGTCGCTGCAACCTCACGTTGTGCGCTAACAGCCTGACGTTCATATATACCACCACAACCTCACATCTTTCAGCAGAGCATCTCCAACTTCCTTCCAAAACTCCTACCATTTCCTCTTCTACAATGAAGTTGAACTAGTCGAGCTGACCACAGCGCTGATCTTTTGTGAAGCTGAGTCATTATTCCCCGCCTACGGGCACCAACAGGGGTAGCATTGGCCACAGAGAGTCCAATGCAAACGCTGAATAAGCTCACGGAAAATAATACGGTTTAATGAAGAACGTCTTACCGTGGGAGATGTCGCACGCGCTGTCAAAAGTCAAAACAAGTTCTCTTCACACGTGTACAGCGCCCGCCGGACGCAAGTGATCGGCGGAGGAGAACTGCCACGACTCGAGGACTTCATAAGGGACCTTTTTTCTGCCCTTGGTCTGGCCCGCTGCCGGGCCTGAATATGTCAAAACATTTCGGCCGGGTTCCCAAAGCCCGGACCAAGCTACTGGTGGCTTGGTCGGCTTTTCGCCGAATTCTTTGTGTTTGGGGTGCTCGCTTTTAATTTCTGAGGCAATCCCGGCCGGACAAAGTAGAATGCCGTCATCCGCTTCTCATTGTCTATGTGAATGATGAGTTCGTGTATAAAACTGCAGCATACAAAGTGCCTACATCTGTGTTCTGAGAGTAAATGCAGTTCGAGAAGAATATTTTTGCGCAGCAATGTGAGCAGTGCATACAATTTCAACAGCGAAGGATGAAGATTCGCAATGAGCACAGGCAGTTAGGAAGTGTATCACGACTGCGGCTATGCACCGGTAGCCATGGCAATAGAAGATATGGCCGAAGCCAATATTACACGAATGTAATCGATTGGAGGATCCAGTCAAGTTCACATTTGTCAATCGACAAGTGCTATCACGTGATGCCTCACGTGATAATTTCTGAGAAGCTCGTGAACTTTCTTGACATCGTCACGTCAATAGGTCAGCTACCTTAGCTTAATAATTGATGATCATAAGTAGCATACTCATTCTTATGTTTTTCCGATCTTTAATGTACATGTTGGATTCCGATGTGAGACATAAAGTGCAATAAATTAGGCCGCGTTATCCAAACGCGCATTCTGGCCTGCAAATACCTCGATGTCAATAAAACCAGACATGGCGAATCATATGAGAATATTCAAAGTCTTTCATCATCTAGTTGCGATTGCTGTTGTCATCTCACGCACGTGATGGCGTCTCCCCCAACGGGCGCAGGAGTGATCGACGGGTGAGATGACATGCGTGTAGGCCCTGGGCACACGGGAGTACCAGGAAATGAAGAAGCGGATGCTCTAGCCAAGGAAGCCTGCAAACTAATCCCAAAATCATAACCACAGCCCTCATTAGCGCACCTAGAAAGGCAAGCTAAAGCAGCTGCCTTCCAAGCCTTTGCCAGAAAATGGCTGTCCTAATGCCCTCGGTAATATGCCGACCTCGAGATAGTTCTTCATCCTAAGCCGCCCGAACTCCGCCTCCCTCGGCACTTACTAGGAATTTTTGTTGTTGTTCTATTTAACGCCATGGCGGCAAGGGCGCAGCCGCCCTTGCGGCAGACCTCCCGGAGGGTATGTGGCGTGAAGGGTCGCAGGCTCTAGCTATATACTATATAGTACACGCCGTATCCTGACGTCCTCCAAATCTTGCTCGTGAGCTACTATGTGTTTTATCCATCCCTAGTTCCCACTGGTGCCCTAGTTCCGTTATAACCCTCTGGTTTCTTAATAGAGGTAGTTTGTCGTTTGGAGGAATAGGTTATGACCTATCTCCTAGTACCGCGGGCAGATCTTCTGGAAGAAGTCTGTCACGCAGAGGAAGGCCTGGAAGCCTTCAGAGTCAGTGATTAGCCCCTTGAAGTAGCGATCGAGGGACCCTATAGGTCCTACGGGCTCCTGGCGGCTGTAGGGGTAGAGGGTGGGCCACTGTTGCCTCCTCAGTAGGGTCTTTCGGCAGTAGACTAGATGGTCTGCCTCCTTAACCCATCCACAGGAGCAGGTGGGTTCTGCTTATCGCCAACCTGCTCCAAGCGATCGTCAACTGGTTGTTCATTCGAGGTGATTTGGCAGGAACGTAAGATAACGACATTGCATCTCAATGATAGTACACAGCTCGCTGACCTCTTGCGCCAGTTTCGGTTTCTTTTTTGGGAGCTGCATCTTGTGGTCGCTGCAAACGCAGTTAGCCCTCCAAATTATCGCGAACCGCCTAGGCCTTGTCATAGTTGACAAGAGAAGAGTGAAAATCATGAAGATCTCCTTGCTTATAGTCGGCATCATCATTATCTCGGTTGCCTGCATCTGGATCCCGGCGCGTCTAACACAGGAAGAGCCGTTCGTGCGCATCAATGAGATCTGGGACCGCATGGAGAAGATCATCTATCTCTTGGTGGATCTCACTTTGAATGCAATTTTCCTCCGCAAAGTCCGACGGGAACTAATTGCCGGGGGTCTCACCAAATATTGGCTGTTGTTCAACTGCAATGTCGCTGCCGTCTCAATTTCCCTGTCCATGGATGTGCGTTCAACTGTCCCATTCTTAAATTACCATGCTGATAGCTGCATCAGATTCTCATCATCGTCATGATGTCGCTTCCGAACCCTTTTCTTTACGCCATTACTCATCCGGTTGCATACAGTGTCAAACTCGTCATCGAGATGATGATGGCTGATTTGATATCCACTATCGTCCGACAACCACACCAGCTTCTCAGCCGCTCAGATGTTTAGCAGGAAGAGTGCCACGAGGATAGCGATCAAGGAGCCTATGGTGGGTGGAGAGAGGACTTAAACCAAAATCAGAACCAAGGTGGTTCGCGTTTGTGAATCTACATATAGAAGGCTGAAATTCTTAAAAGAAAAATAAGTTTCTGTGGTAAATAAGGCGTAATTAATGGCCGGCAATTACGGATTCGTTTTTGTACGACAGTTTCCCAATTGCTGCGTAACAGCTCTAGGTGCCAATATCAGGGCTTCATGTTCTATCTGGCCTATCGTCTTTCCGCCCAATATTCATTATCTCTCTGTTACATATTAGAAGGTGAATATGCTATGACTCTGAGGATAGGCCGCTGGCCAACACCGACAACGACGATAACGGCAACGAAGACACCGACACTGACGACACTTACACCGATGTTACCAACACTCACTACCTAGTCCCTGTCCTACGGTGCTGAGCTGTCAGCCATCCCATGGACGCTTCTCTGGGTACCGAACAGAGCGGAATAGCCCTTCACACTCGAATCCAAAGTCTAGCATTGTCGGATTGGAAGTCCAATTCGGCCGCGAGTAAGGGCAGAGCATGGGCCACCTCGAGGGAGTACAATTAGACCTCGACTACCCACCCAACCCCCGGTTGGAATCTCCCTTTTACTCCTTATGCGGAATCAATCAATACAGAGATATTGATACTTCGTCACCCCCAGGACCCTACGGTTCGAACCAACATCCCTGTGATAGGGATACCAACAGTACCAAATACCGGTATCAACAACGCCAACTTTGGCCCTCTTTCCAAAGACACCCTGTGCGTGCAACTTGGAGATACCGGTAGCATTGTGCGTCGTGTACGCCACATCCTCGCCTTGGACCAACCGCTTGCTTTCCACAGGGTCGAGCTTGACTGCCACATTGGGCCAAACATTCACAACGTCAGGAAGACTCAACAAGGAGTCGAGAGTGTGGTTCTCCGTCTCGACGCTTGCACCCGTAAAGACCTTGTTGTCGTAAGTCTTTACGAGTGTGACACCATCGGTCGACGCGAGCCCATCCCGTCGCTGATTCGAGCCCTGGTGTCGCTGGTCAACGGCCGGCTATTAATTGAAGAAGCACAGGATGCATACTCACTGGCGCAAACTCCACAATGAAGCTCTTTGAGATAGGTCGATTATGGTCTCTGAAGTCGACATTCTGTCGACTTCTCAGCGCGGGATTACTCCCTGCTTTGACAAGCGGGAGTGCAAGGGGGAGTGCAAGGGAGATTGCAAACAGCCGCATTGTTGTCTAGACGCCGGGCGAGCAGACGTTCGGAGGGGAGTCAAGAGCTAGGTGCTCTCATCCGTAGTGCGTCCCCATGGCCGTGCTCTCCTGGCCTTGATATAAGTATCTGCAGATGTTTTAGCTTCTTTACATCTAGTAGATACGCGGGTTCGCGGACACTCCTGTCACTTGTTGACGCTGAGATCTGACCAAGATAACGCTCGTTTTCGGGCGCCGGCTGCACCAAACTCCCTGAAATCCCCTGCTCAACGTACATGTACGAGGTTACAGTGCATTCTCAAAGCACTGTGTGCCTGGATTGAGGTCGCATCGCTGTTGCCAAGATGTGATAATGAACACCAAGAGACTTTATCAGATGAGATGAGATGAACCACTCCAGGTATTTATCATTGCCCATGCCGACGCGACTCGGTCGCGTGCTTGACAGATCACGGGATGGCCTATGGAAAGAGAGCTTGACATTAAACGTTAATTGATCGCGTGCTGTACCCTAGTTCAGTGCTAATCCATCTTCCTCGTTGAGATTCTTGGCACCCGCGGGTCGGATAAGTTTGGCCTTATCACCGCGGCTTCGTTGCCTCTTGGGAACCTTATTTCGATTGGACTCTGCAAGCTAAGCTCTAAAGACGCCTTGCTGACAGGTTTATCCGTATCTCCGGATCGGCGGATATTATCTCACGGTGATCGCTTGCCTTGGGAGGCGAATCGGTGCAGCTTGACTTGGATGGGGCTGGTTCTTCCACAGCTCGTTCGAAGAGAGGAATTGCGTTCCGACCTCCACCGCGAGAAGAGCATAGGTGCTAAGTCAAAATATAATCAATTGTGCTCTAAGATGGATTTAATGCCGCCATGTTGAGACTCTTCCGATGTATGATGAACCTGAAAATCCAGTGCAATGATGCCAGCTCGTACTTCACGGAGGTCGAAGTCGGTTCGAAAACCTTCCAATACCACCTTGCCCCGCCTCCGCAGTGATAGTCTAATTGGAGGATTCAAGCTGCAATGCTTGAAGAGACTGCCGCCGTTGACGGTTCCGGTGCCCGGGCCAGCAGCTCAATCGGCGTGTTGGGGTTTGACTGGGATTGCGGGTTTCGGTGCCGGGCCCGCGGAGCGCAAAGTGACCCCATCAAGCTGGTGAATACCGGTCGTCTGAACTCACTCTGTATGCTTTCAAGTGATCGCCCACGAGTTTCGGGCATGAAGACAGTGAGAACAATCGCTGTGATGACAGTCAACCCGCCGAAGAGGAAGTAAGCGCCATATGCTGAAGCGGATAAGAGGATCGGAGTGATAAGTGCCACCAGCCAATTGGTGAACTATGCCATGTCAGTGACGTCTATCTCAAGATGGATAATGAGAACTTCACTTACGAATGAAGACGCCATTCCAATCGAATTGCCCGCGGCTCTGGTGTTGCCAGGCAGAATCTCGCTAGCATAGATCTTTCCGACGACATTTGTCACGAAACAGGAATGGTATCAGCACTTGTCAAGCATCTTGCCACGTGCTTTCTCACGTGGATATCACACTCTCTTAGTATATAGACTGCTCTCATGTGCTCATTCTAGATGGGTTACTTCAAGCCACTTTAACCCACTTCATATGCCCATTGCTGCGTGCCATAACTCGTGACAACATTCCAGGTAGCACAGTAGGCCATGCCAAATGCGAAAACTGAGATTACGACAACCCAGCGAGCAACTCCTGTAGGGCCAACCGCGCCAGCTGCGTAGAGGCTCCCCATGAGCATCATAAGTCCAGAGAGAATAACGCCGCCACTGATTGCCGAGGTTCGTCTTCCCCATTTGTCGGCCAGGATGGATGCTGGAATAGACACGACCAGCATCGTGATGGAAGAAACGCCAGATGCGATGAGCGAAGAGTTGGACTGTGAGATTCCAGCCTGGTCGAACAATGCGGGCGCGTACTATCTTGGTCAATCTTTGTCTCAAATAATAGAAACGACAGGCGCATCTTACATAAGTTATCGCATCGGTTCCTGTTGGTATTCCTTTCACAGGGAATTTGGTTCGAACCGTAGGGTCCTGGGGGTGACGAAGTATCAATATCTCTGTATTGATTGATTCTGCGTAAGGAGTAGAAGGGAGATTCCAACCGGAGGTTGGGTGGGTAGTCGAGGTCTAAGTGTACCACCTCGAGGTGGCCCATGCTCTGCCCCTACTCGCGGTCGAATTGGACTTCCAATCCGACAATTCCTGACAATTGGATCATCGACAGAATAAAGAGCGCCAGCAAAGTTCTAGACCGGTACGGCCCACGGAAAGGTAAAAGGAAGGTCTGCCTCGTGGAAAGACTAGGCTGCTCCTGCGGCATGTTGAGGAAGTCGCGCCGAGCCTCATCCATGTCAAGATCAAGCAGCTCGAGAGCCGTCACTGCCTCTTGCGTTGTGCCCCAGAGCAGCAGCCACCGTGGCGACTCGGGTAGAGCCCTGCAAACGAGCGCGAGCATGATTGAGACTGCAATTTGGACAACATACGGAAGACGCCACGCAGTGCTATCTTCAATGGAGCTCGTCGTGTAGGAAGAGAAGTATCCGATACAGATGCCGAGAGTTGCCATGAACTGAGGCAAGGCGGCGAGGCGACCTCTTCGACGGGAGGGGCTATCTCAGCGAGGTAGACGGCGATGTTACCGAGGAAGACGCCCTGGCCAATGCCGCTGACAGCTCGACCTAGGATGAACTGACCCAGGCTGAAGGATGTTGTCTGTAGGAGAGCGCCGAGGGCGAAGAGTGCGGCGCCGGGTGATATTATGCGCAATCGTCCATACTTGTCTGCCAGCTGACCAGCCAGCAACGAGGGAATGATGCCAGTCAACAATATCATGGAAACTGTGATACCTCGGACGGTCGCAGACAGATCGCCGAATGTGGTCGCAAACTGCTTCATATGCACTACTGAGCCGATAGTTCCTGTATCAAAGCCGTTCAGGAAGCCTTCAAACGATAAGGCGATTGTCGCCGTCACGTAATTCGGCATCAGTTTCGCGAGGTGCGGCATGTCGAAGAGTCGAAAAAGATGATTGTCCAGGAGAAACATAAAACTCAAGCTAAAATATTGGAGCAATTACACACGTAAGTGCAGGATGTAGTCGGAGAGTCCTCCTCGTGGCACGGTCAGGCCACGGGGACTTTAAACAATATCACCAACGCTTTAACCACACAGAAGCACTACTCACCTGCTCCTGTGGATGGGTTAAGGAGGCAGACCATCTAGTCTACTGCCGAAAGACCCTACTGAGGAGGCAACAGTGGCCCACCCTCTACCCCTACAGCCGCCAGGAGCCCGTAGGACCTATAGGGTCCCTCGATCGCTACTTCAAGGGGCTAATCACTGACTCTGAAGGCTTCCAGGCCTTCCTCTGCGTGACAGACTTCTTCCAGAAGATCTGCCCGCGGTACTAGGAGATAGGTCATAACCTATTCCTCCAAACGACAAACTACCTCTATTAAGAAACCAGAGGGTTATAACGGAACTAGGGCACCAGTGGGAACTAGGGATGGATAAAACACATAGTAGCTCACGAGCAAGATTTGGAGGACGTCAGGATACGGCGTGTACTATATAGTATATAGCTAGAGCCTGCGACCCTTCACGCCACATACCCTCCGGGAGGTCTGCCGCAAGGGCGGCTGCGCCCTTGCCGCCATGGCGTTAAATAGAACAACAAAAAAATTGACGATCGCTTGGAGCAGGTTGGCGATAAGCAGAACCCATATCCTTCAAAATGTTACTACTCGCGGTTGCTAGAACGGAATGGAAGAAGCATCAACGGAGAAGGACTCACATCCACACATAAAGGTTGAAGACTGGGTTCGTTCTCATGTAGATCAGGACCGTTTGCTGAGATGCTTTCACAGAAATGAGTATGGCGAGACCAATTGTAATGCCAAAGTAGATGCTCGGTATCTCAAGAGAGTACACGGCCGTCCCAAAAGTCTGGGCGCCCATCGTAGCTTCGATGTCAACAGCAATGTTGATGTTGCCAGGAATTGATGAATGTGCGATGTCGAAAAGGGGCGATCAACGTTGTTTCATCAGCGCTTAGCGGACAAAGAAGAAGATGATCATGTTTAGCGGGATCGCCACTTATATGTAAGCCTGCCAACTGGGCCGACGATGATCGCAACCGGCGCCTTAGTGCCGCCTCCAGGACGTTGATTCGCGGGACTGGTGTACCGCTAGTTCAATGTGGCAGACGCCAAAACACATCCTTCCTGCAATGCAAGTATTTCAATCCCACGATGCAAATGACTCGAGTTCTGCAGTCGCGACATGAAGGTCGCGATGGTGTTTTACGCAATTCGTAGGCGTGCAGACATGGACGCTATCAAGCTCGTGAAAGCACCAGACGGTGTAACTATTCATCTCCATTGACGCGATAGAGTCTGAGCCCATCCTCTCTCTGATAAAAGCATGTCTCTTGAAATTTTTGTAATGACTAGGTATCAATAGAAGCCGTTTTCGCCAAATTTCCATCATGCTTTAGGGTGCGCATTCGATCGAAAGAGCTCCAATGGGAACATTGATGAACATCTTCATACCAACGGAAATGATTCATCCACCTCATGGTGCGATATCTAAGTGAGTTGTCCGGGCCCGAGATCCCCGTTCCGTTGGCGATGTCCATAGTACCTGGGCCTTAGTGTCTTGCGTGACTGTCGCAAGAATGATCTACCGCCATGGTGCATAGAGGTAGGTCGCTGTCAAGTTGGGGTTGTTGACGCAGGGTAGAAGCTCTCAGAGGCCAACTGCAGTTAGGGGTAGAATGATGAATTACTGAAATCTGCTCCTCCCCCGACGTGTACTCCCTGCGCTGTATATATATCTGAGCTGCTCCTTTGTTGCTTGGACTCCTTACTACCTCTAACTAGCCCCTATCCGGGAGGGCTCTGACAGTTGCATCATAGTGACGAGACTCAGGGCGGTCTAGAACTCCAACTAAGTGAAGTCCCCTCAAAGATTCTTATCACGCATGGCACTTACCTATATCTCCCCGTAGGGATTGGTGTGACGGGCAAAAAACGTGGTCGAACCCTGCCACGTTCTGCATTCAAGTGCTGCGAGATACGGCTAGAAAGGGCCGAAGGAATACTTTGGTCGGCAACGATTAGTATATCCTCAATGGCTTCACATTGCTTTTTCTCTTTCCCTCGCTGTCGCTCCTCGTATCGTGGCTTGCAGGCGCTGCCATTCGAAGCCAGCCACCGGACCCAGCCCCGAAGACGTGGAGTCGGTGAGACAGCTAAAGTAGGGCCCAAGTAGATGGTACGCAGATTTGGGGGTTGACTGAATTGGGCTCTTTCATACAACCGAGACCACAGTCATCCTTCTTTTCCTTTTTTCCGATGAGCTGCTTTCGATGGCGATATGTGTCAGTGACAATCGGGCGCATCGAATTGGAGGTGAAGACTGAGGGGCATTGTAATAGGTCTGACATAGACTACTCCGTACCTTAGCGACATAAACTAGTGCGACGTGATAAGTGATAATGGTTAAATGAAACAGCGGGAGTATTCACAGCTTGGAGGATTTCCTCGTTCGGTAGATTTCCAACCGGTGGGACAAAAAGATGAGAACGACTACTGTGCTTGGCAGTCTGATTCGAGGCTGAGGACCGATCATTACCCGTTTGCTATGTTAGGGCTATGCAGTGCTGACTTCGCGGGATGTACTGGACTCCAATATCATAATGTTGAAGGCGAGGGAAAGCTGAGAGCAGCGGACCAACTTGCAATACCGCAATGCTCGCCCTCGAATGCAGCGAGAGTAAATTTACGTGGCTCCTCTTGTTGGGGACAGGTCACGCAAAAGCTCAACCGACAAGACGTAATTGAGAGGCATAGCTCTGTTGATATATCACAATGAGGTAAATCAAACCCCTTCAAGTTATTAGTTACAGATAAGATATGAGGAGTTCCGAGAGCAGGGAGAAGGGTGCTCGACAGCGTCGGCGGGGTTATTCCCACGAGAGAAGCCGGAAGCCGTCCAGCAATAAGGCCAAGAGTCCATGGAGTCCCTATGTAGCAGGTAAGATACATACCTTGTTCTAGGTAAGCTTCGTGGCAGATGATCCTGCCTCCATAGGTACTAGCAAGGACGACATAACATCTTGCCCTACGTGTCTCTGACTTGGTACCTTATGGAACAGAGCCATCTGACACCACTTGATACATGTTAGGACTTAGAGGTAAATACAAATCAAAGCTCGTCACAGATGTCAAGGTACATGAAAGTGATATGAATGATGAACGCACCTCAGTTATGAAAGATAAGAGACTCTCGGATATCTTGAATCAACATGAATCTAACTTACGTGCCAGAAAGAGCTTGTCTAGCTCCCGATTATTCTCCTTCACTCCCTCAACCTTTTCTTACATGTAGTAACCGTGACCAACGTATTGACAATTGCGAGCTGAATGACAATCAGAGCTACAATGCAACTTTTTGAGCTGAAGGACAAGGCACCATGCTACATTGATCTATGCCAGTGGCCCCCTATCTCGCTACCACAGACGCCTTGGCGCGTAAGTCGTCTTTATCTACCTAAGTCGACGGCCGAAGCTTTGGGGCCCGCGAGGGCTTGCAGAGAATTGCTTGTACCACAAAGCTTCGTAACACCGTCCAGATCAGCGGTGAGACTTGAGCAGTATTGTCCCATTGGCGAATCGGCCCTGCTCCAATCCCCAGGAAGCTCCTGTTTGACCTCGAAGATCATGGCGCTTGCCGAGGTCCTTTGTCAGCCCCGCACCCATGTTTTCATGTAGGATTTATCAAGGGATGGTGTGTTGTGCGGCGTACCTTAGGCAGGCCAGATTATATTGGTCGTTTCGCTTCCTTTGCCGCTTCGTCCCTGGAACTCATGAAGTGGCCAAGTCTACTAAGGAGGTCTGCCATTGAACATGGACCTGCCGGTACCCGACTTGAGAAGGCTTTGTTTGCTTTGTTCCTAGGAAATGGCGATTCCAGATGGTCGATAAACCAGGGCAAGCATTGGACGGTTTACGGCATCGATCGTATAAAGGCTCGTACCGACGCATATCATAAATGTCTTCACCTCGATGCAGTAAATGTCGATCCTAGCCAAGACATCAAGCTCCCCATTCCTGCCGTTCACATCAATCCCATCATGCTATCTATCGTCTTTGTGACCTTCATAGCTCTGGCTGTTGCCCAACGCACCCCTTGGCCTAAATACGGCAACTGGACCGAGAACCTCAATGGATACCCATACATCCTCTCAGGCCCAATGACCCTAGGAAAGAAAATAGACTTCGAACTCGAACGATGCCACTACGTCCTCAGACTCCTCAGTGAGCGCACAAGCGTCCCCAACAGCCAGATCCCGCTCCCAACCCCAGCCTCCCTCTGTATGGACATCCTCGCCAAACGAAAGGCCACCATCGGTGACCAGGGCTTTCTCGAGCTATTCTCCAAGGAAATCGAATATGCCAAAAAGTTCTGGTATGAGGTCAACCTCAACTCCACGCTGAACGATCCCGCCACCTGGAAAGGAGTCGAGTGTCGCGCCCTCGTGCCACTCCCCAACGTCAACGCGTGGGCTTTTTCGACCTGGTCTGCCTCGCCTCTCGCTGATGCTGCTAATAATCGGGGCAACGCGGAGCACTACTTCAAAAAGTCGAACAGCCAGGGAGGTCCAGGTGTGGCCGCGACTTCAAGTATTCTAGAGGGTTGGGGCGGCGTGGTCACCAACTTTAGTATTCCCAACTACAGCAGGAGAACTTGTGCGCAGAGACAGATGGTCCGGCCTCTGCCTGAGTTTCGGCTCAAGGCGTGCGGTGACAAGAATCTTGTCGACGGCAAGAATACCAGATTCGGGGTGTTGAATATTGCAGCTAGGGATGTCAGTGTGGCTGGGACGAGGTATCTTGATATCTACGCTTCGGTGTGGTATGGAAGTGGTATTTCGGAGGAGCATCTCGAGGCGGAGAGGCAGCATATCATCATTGAGATTGTAAACCTGAGTTTGAAGGCTCAGGAGGATATTAAGAGCGGCCGGTTTAGGGTTCCCGCACCTCCAGCATCTTGAGGCTGGTGTCGTGGGTGTCACGAGGCCACCAGAGGGAGGTGGCTTTGAGCCCTCAGTTGGGGAGATAGCGTGGCAGGGTTGGAAAGATCAGGTTAAAATCGAACCGGTGCATTGTTCCCTGCGAAAGTAGTGCTTTTTGCATCCGGAAGGATCATTGGCATGTGTGCTAGCTCCAGAGTCTCCAAATTCTTCAGGCCTCAATAACCTCGCGCGGCGTGACTGATCATCATTCTTCCATGGCAATGAACAATACTAAAAAAGAAGAGGTACTGATAAATAACATACAATAGAACAGCAATGCTTGAAACACTCTGACGAAGTCCCTTTTCCCTCCAAAGTTTGTGTTCCTAAGATGGCATCGCTAGACCAAGCACGCGTGGTGATCCAGCGACGTCCGCTAAACACCTCCCCCTCAGCCTTACTCAACTCCTACAACCACCACGCCCTAACGCCATCGTATCTACATCGAAGAGAGTAGGAAATCGCGCCGTTCAACATGGGTTGCTGGTTGACTCTACGGATCCAGGAGTGCATGCTGAACCCGCCTACTGCGATCCACCACTTATCCAGAGATGAAGTTCGCCGACTACTCGAGATTTCAGCGTGGCTGAACTACGACCTGAGCAAAGCTGAGAAGAGTGAAACGTTGGGCGTACTGGCCGCAGAGATGGAACAGAGAACAGAAGATCTTCAGACAGGCACACCGGCAGGATACTTCATTCGGACGAGTCGCTGCAGCCCCAAAGGCGCTGATGGAGGTAACCTTCAACCTATCAACAACATGCGCGAAGCACTCACCAAGCTGGTCTCTTCGAAAAGAACCGTTCAAGCACTTCTCGGCTTGTACTATCAAATCAACCAGGATGCAGAATCCACAGATAACCGGCTCTACTTCTTCCCATACTACACCCACCTCGACCGCTTAAGCGAGTGGCATTGCTATGTCAAAGAAAGCCATATCGTCATCATTAGCCAGAGCAGATTTTATCAGCCAAACCACGCCGGCATCACAAACGACATGCTGAGCAAGCTAGTGTTCCAGGCTCGTCGCCTCTGGTCTCGCATGGCACCCGACCTCGACTTCAAAAGCTGCATCCTAGACGTCTATGCAGAAGTCCTTGATCCAGATTTCGAGGTGAAGCTCATCGAGATTTACCCCTGGGGCGCACACTCCGGCTCAGGCAGTTTACTCTTCCACTGGCTCGACGACGCGGATATCCTTGATACTGAACAGCATGACGGGACGACGGTGATTAGATTGGTTGAGCCAGGCGAGGCAAAGGACCTGTCGCGCGATGATGCCTTTCAGAGTGGTCGAAGTGGGATTATTGAGGACGAGTTGCGGTGTTTGCAGGAGAGGGGGCTTGAGTGGGTTCTGGAGGAAGGAAAACACGCTGAGTTTATGGGCTTGCCGGTGCCGAATGGACAGTATGGACTTACCACGAGAAAAGATGGTCTTGAAATCTTTCGGAAAGAAGAGGAAGGGAAGGGTCCAGAAATGAAGCCGCGGGATCACCCGCGATTCCTGAAGTTGAAAAGGGCGTATCGGGCGGAGCGATGATGCTGGATATCAAGACCGGAGGTATTTAGCTTTGTCTCGCTTTAAGACAAATCGTTGTCCTCATCAGAGCCTAAAATGCTTAGAGTCACGCAAGTGGTAACGGTATGCAGCAGGATGGGTGTCTCAATTCCGGTCTTGCGAAGGCATAACTCTATCTCAGTTGTCTCTACGACTGTTGATATCTCTCCGTGCCCCCAGAATATTCGAATTCGCCTCATCATTTCCTCCCTAATCCTACTCGCGTGTAAATGTGGAATCGGTCTGATGACTCCTATAATCAGCTGTTAGTATCTTTGGATCAGGTAAGAGAGGTGGAATTGAACTGACTGTAGAGACGGCGGTCTGTCACGAGCTAAGTCCGCTTGGTCGGGAGGCCAGACGACTGCTCGAGGATCTTTCCAGAGTTAGCGGCGGTGACCTCGGTCTTGGGAGCGTTCAGGCCGCCCTCCACGTGGTCATCCGCGGTTGGTGCTTGGCCGAGAAAGTCGTCGTAGGACGGGTAAGATTGGAGCAAGGCAACAAGCCCGGTAGAGTTAGGATCGTGAGTTGTCGATCCGACCTCGAGGTCATAGGGCGAAGGAATCCCATCCATCGGATGACCTTTGTAGATCTCCTTTTGCCTAAAGTGCGCCCAAAACGCACGGAACGCTTTCTCCGATGTTGGGGTGCCAGAGGCCTTGGCGAGCTTGAAGTACTCGACGATCGCGGCGAGGTGCGCGGGCTCGATCTGCTTTCCACAAACCTGCATGAGGTGAAAGCTGGAAGAACGCTTCAGGTCCACGACCTGCAACTGGGCTTGGCGCAGTCCGGTGTTCTGAGGTGCCTCCTACGCAACCAGAATCACCGTCTGGCGGAACACGGAGAGAATCTCCTCGTGGTCTTCATGGAGCTCTCCGATTGGAGCAATTGCAATTGGTACGGCAGTTCGAATGTACCAGCGAAGGCCGAGGTGGAAGAGTCTACCGACCGGGAAGGATTGGAAATACTCATGCTCTGCGGCGACGTGTGCCTTCTCGACCTGGCAAGTGACCCCCAAAGCCTCCATCCAACGATCCGAGAGATCGTTGACCTTCAGCGAAGGAAGTGTGCCACCTTCCAAGATGAATCGGCCTGGTTGAGCCACAGCCGGGTTGGTCGAATTGAGGATGTGGCAATCCAAGACATGACGGACGTCTCGAACAGTCACATCTCGTGGGGCCTTTACCGACCGATTCTTGTCGACTTCGTAAGCCCAGACGATTACGGCACCAAAGTGGCAGGCGACAAAACCCGGCTTGCCGAAGCTGTGGATGCAGTTGTTGAGATTTCCAACGCTGGTGTGCTTGGAAGAGCCGAACTTAATGGCGTCGACGCCATGGGCTAATTTCTTCTGGATGGGAGTCGCTACCGAATTCAGACCCACCTGTATGATGTCGGGGCCGGTAGAGCTGTCGTTGGATTTGCCAGCCGCCTTGGCAATGTCGATCTCATCGGTAGCGAAGTTCATCTTGCCAGTCTCGAGATCAAGATGAAGAGAGATCCAGATCGGCTTCGGGTCAGCTCCATTAACAGGAAGTAGCGCCGCGAGGTAGTGGTTCTCAGATGGTCGAGTCTCCAAGGGGAGGCCAAAAGAAGGGGCCGATTTCGCTGCCTGGCGACCCACGCAGAGTCGTTGATGGAGATTATCGGCCTCGAGACACTGGGCAGAGCAGTACCTAGCCTCTTTACAAGGGCAGCGATACTTCCGGGTGGAAGTATTGCCGCAGGCCAGGCACTGCTCGGTCCTCTGTCTCTCATGCTGGTTGTGGCAGCCATCGTAGACTCCAGGGTGATGGAGAGCCCAGCCGCTGCCTTCACTGCCCTTCACTCCCATCGAGTATTGCTCAATGGGCGTAAGAAGGACGGTGAAGGTGACCACCGGCTCCCACATAGACTTGCCGTGAGAGGAAGACATGCTAAAGAGATGAGGCTGTCAGTAGATGAAAGAGCCTAGGATGAGAGTGGAGGACAATGCTTTCTTACATGGATTTGTTAGGGTCTGTGACGTCTTTGTAGTAGTGGGTGAGTGTAAAGATTGAGAGACAATGAGGAAGCGATCGGTTATGATGGATGGAGTGAGATGATCGTCTGCGAAAGGCGAGGGCAGGATGATTTAGGGACAGATGGAGCCCAAAGTATGAGGTCGAGAGGAAAGTTGAGGATGAGGTTGGAAGAATGGGTGCAAAAGGTGAAAGCCTGAAGGCGTGGGGTCGTGAGAAGGGGAGGTCTTGTTGCTGGGGGCAAGAACAAGAGAGGGTCGTTTGAATTTGAAGGCAAGAGCAACCTTAGGGCAGAAGAAGAATGACCAAAGAGGAATTCACGGCGGTGAAGGAGTGTTCACATTATATTCGTTTTCTTAGTGCAATCACGTGCCATACGCCCACTCAATGGCACACACCTCATGATGGAACAATTGCAAGAACTCCAATCGCTGTTCGTTTCCTTCATTTGCAGGTGGTCTAAACAATCTTGTAGACCAGCTTCTCAGCACTCACACCGCCCTTGGCCTGCAACTCAAAGCCCTTGTTGATATCATCCAGACCACCAAACTCCTTTTGCGGGTTCGGCTTGATGGAGCCATCCTCCAACCACTTGGGCAGGAGCCCCAAGTACTTCTCCCAAAACTTCTTATCCTCAGGCTTCTCGCCATCAATGTTGTCGAAACTTCCATATGACAGCGCCCTTCCAAAGACTGAGTACACCAACGTGCTCTCGACCTTTACACCCTCAGGAGCGCCGACCTCCTTCGCCTTGCGCGGCAGAATGCAGACGACGTGGCCACCTTCGGGTGAGAGCGCCGTCGCGACAGCCTTTGTGGTCTCGACTTCGCTAATGGCGTCAAAGACGTGCTTCAGGTTGTTCTTCGCAGCCGTCTTGACCTGCTCAATCCAGTCGGCGTCGCGGTAGTCAATCGCCACATCCGCACCGAGACTCTTCAGGAGCCCGTGGTTCTTTTTGCCTCCAGTCGCGATGACGTATAACCCAGCCTTCTTCGCCAGCTGGATGGCATATAATCCAACACTGCCCGTTCCGCCATTGATCAACACAGGAAGCGCCTCCTTGGACGGGCTCGTCGGCTCAGGCAGTCTCAGCCGCTGGAAAAGTGCCTGAATAGCGGTGGCGAAGGCCAAGGGGATGACAGCGGCCTGGGAATCCGTGACGGATTCAGGGACGGGGAAGACGAGGCTGCTCTCGATGACGGCGTACTGCGCGAAGACGCCGCGTGGTGGGTCGTCGCTGGTTCCCATGACGAAGCCTGCAACGCGCTGGCCTTCTTTGAGGGAGGAGCCGTTGGGGTCTGCGACGGTGCCGGCGAAGTCGCAGCCGACGGTACGGCCTGCGGGAGCGCCGGCTGTGGCTTTCCAGTCGGTTGGGTTCTGGGCTACGGCGGAGATCTTGACGAGGATCTCGCCGGGGCCGGGCTGAGGCTTAGGGACCTGAGATGGTGGTGAGTAAAATGATGAGAATCAGTTGGAGAGTCTAAATGACATCATGTACCTCTTGGACTTTGGCGGTCTTGTCGCCTTGGGAGACGAGGGCTCGGATGGTGCCTGCCATTGTTGCTGTGTATGATATAGACCTGGATTGAGTGGTTTGAAGGATTGTAGATGAGATTGAAGACGATGGACGAGGTTGTTGAAATTGTTTCTTGGACTGGTACTCTCGAGATGGATGACGGAATGAGGACGAATTTAAGTCAAGAGGAGAAGACGTTGAAACAACACGTGAGATTAGTAACCTGGAATGCAAGCTGTTGCTGAGAATTCGCGTGCTCAAGTGGGTAGACGCCATTGACGCAGTCAGAGAAGACTTGGTGAAGTTATGGGCTGAAAGCGCTTAGAATTGCGCTTAGAAACAATCGACACTTCGTAAAGTACCCCATTGAATCGCATCTGCCCCACGAACTTAATTCCGCGGACGAACGAATTGGTCATTTTAAGGTGTCAAAAAGGAGCTATCCGCAATGCCGGGGCGCACAGACATTCAGCATTAGTCACCGAAGGGATGTTCCTGCTTAGAAATGTGGCTGGATATAGCATGGGAATTCCGCAACGCAAAGAATTCAGATTGATGCCAAAGTCCAATTGTGCCAATCCTTCAAGTTCTCTTCGCAAATCCCATCATTAGGTAATGCATCATTGATGTATACATTCGCTATCTACCTTTGGGTGCCTCGGTGAAGACATGATATGATGATGGTACCTTACTCTGAAGTTCGTTGGGGCCTGTGTGAAACGCGTGCTGTGACCGTGTCTTGCTTGACGAACAATGGCATCGAACAGTGATTGAGAACAGCGATTGCCTACATCTTGTCCTAAAGAGATATTAAAAGTTGATTTTTGGCGATGAGATGTCTGTTCGATCAAGTTAGCTGATCTCACAATGGGCCCTTGGGCTCCGTAACGTTCGGCTTCGCTCCCGATCCCCATAGATCCTCGGGAGACTCGGCCGGCCACTGTGACCCCGCATCGTGGGAGCCGACCGAACACGGCAATCACTGAACGAAAGCTCCGAATCCACCACCGATGAGGATGGATCGGAGAAAATCATACATATCCCCCTCCTCGATATCGACGTCTGAGATGCAGTGACCGCCCATTCCAACATCTCTTGCATTGGAGATACCTGTCCATCATCTTGGCGCAGCATCAACCCCTTTCAAAGTAACCCAGACTTCCTTATCGTCGTGCATCTCAACGTAACTTTCGGAACCTGGGTTGCGTGTACCCCACAAATGTCGCTGGCGCCATAACAGCCATGAATGATAAAAGCATTCCAACGCTCATATCTACTGCGTTGGGTTGTTTTCAGACTCATTCCCCTCACTCGGCCTTATGAGACGACGCTCATCAACAGCCGCTTATCAACTTCATGTGAAGCATCGTCAATATGAAACCTCTCTTGCCGGCAGCACTCATCTGCACCCTGGCCTCATCGGCTTGGGCCGCATCCTGCACCGAGTCCCTCATCAGCCTACACAAGACCCTCGTCGAAGCCGACACAACAACCAAATCCGAAGCCCTCGGAACAGAAGCCCTCAAAGGCTACCTCGAGACAAACTTCACAGTCGAGCTCCAAACAGTCGAAGGAACACGCCAGAATGTCTTCGCCTACCTCGGCAACGCCCGCGAAGCTCGCGTCCTCGTCACATCGCACTTCGACACCGTACCGCCTTACATCCCCTACTCCCGCTCTGGCGATGAGATCCGCGGTAGGGGAACCTCTGATGCGAAAGGCAGTGTCGCAGCACAGATCATCGCCGTGGAGGAGCTCCTAGCAAGCGGGGAGATTGCCGAGGGCGACGTCGCGCTGTTGTATGTGGTCGGCGAGGAATCTGGAGGCGATGGCATGGGCGCCGCAAATGAGCTGGGCTTGACGTGGGAGTCCGTCATCTTTGGCGAGCCGACGGAGCATACCCTCGTCCGGGCGCACAAGGGCGTGCTGGGGTTCAACATCACGGCCGACGGCGTCGCGGGGCATTCTGGGTATCCCGAGTACGGGCGGAGCGCGATTGACCTGCTCGTTCGGGCCTTGGATAAGATCCAGGATACGAAGTTGCCTTGGACGGAGGAGTTCGGAAACACGACGTTGAATGTGGGCTTGATTGAGGGCGGGATCGCGACTAATGTGATTTCCGAGAGCGCGTCGGGCAGGGCGTCGATTCGAGCTGCGACTGAGGACTTGCAGGGGATTCAGGATGTTTTGCAGAAGGCTGTGTCTGAAGTTACTCCGGAGTTTGTCAATTTGACGTTTACTGGGTCTGGGTTACCCGTGAGTCTGGATTATGATGTTGAAGGTATGTCGTTTGCCTCACTGCTCTTATGGATCGGCCCCAGTTGACACGAGCAGGCTTCAACACTACCGTGGTGAACTACTACACCGACGTGCCTCGACTGAACGGAACCCACAAGCGCTACTTGTATGGACCAGGCACGATTTTGGTGGCTCACTCGGCCGATGAGCGCATCACGGTTCAGGATCTGGAGCTCGCTGTGGAAGACTACAAAAAGCTAATCCTCGCTGCCCTGAAGTGAAGAGTTCTAAATTGCTTTCAACCATATGTCAATAATATACGCATGAATGACGACTAACACCGTCGATGGCGACTCTTGATCATGTCTGAGCTCAATGGCTTTGGTTATCGCCAATGCTCTCTACACCGCCTGACTCGTTCTTGCACGCCAAAATGGCCTTCTTGTGTCCATGTTACCTGTAGGCGGTGGAAGGAGATGAACAAATGTCACGGTTCTTGTGCAAAATTGTGAGCCAGGACTTGAAGCTCGAAAGTCAGCATTCGCCTGGGTTTCGTTACGATGAGTGAGATGAGACTGGGATTGGGTGAGTGAGTGAGAGCTCAGTAAGTGAACGATACGTACCGTCTACCCCTCACGGATGGTCCGTGCCGAAATTGACGTCAGGCGTCTGGGCAGTCGCGACCCCGCCATGGCGATGCCGCCACACGTGACAGCTCAGCTCGAGCTCAGCTCAGCTCCCCCCGGCTGCCTCACCACCACCAGCACCAGCGGGACCGGCCGCCGACTATCCACCAAACTAGCACCATTTGAGAGCTCAACGGTCACCTCCATTGTGCCTGTCTCTCCTCTCCAAGCTAGTCATTCCTCTCCAAATCCCCCGACTCTCAACACCGCAATAATGTCCAACTCTCGTGGCCTCCCCGATGTCTTGATGACAAAGGTTGACGAGTATGTTGACTCGCTCGCTCCACAGATTCAACCCCGCATCGCGTCTGAGATCGACACCTTCCAGACGAGAACCATTGATAGTCTTGAGGACCAGGTTGTTGACGCCTTTCGTTCACTCTTCAACAAGGATAAGAACTCTGGCGATGGCTCGAGAGGACTGAACGACACACCACCCGATGCCTACGGCATCCAATCCCTGCCCTTCGCCGACGAGATTGGCAAGCTCACCCGCAGCTTCAGCGTCATCACAGACGAAGCAGGAGATGACCTACGAGACATCTTCAACCTCACCGACGAGGCCCGCGGAGGAGGAGGTGGCGGTCCCGAGACCCAATCCCGCGGCATCAGCCACAGCGACTCATTCGGCGGGGCAAAGGGCTTCCTCTCCTCCGCCATCAACGTCGTCCAGGACCATCTAGAGAAAAACAAGGGCTCAGGCGGCGGCGGCGGCCAGGGCTTCGAGCTCGACGGCCTCCTCGGCGTTCTCAGCAATACCGTCAAGGACGCTGCGCGGAACCCCGAGGAGAAGGCTCGCGTCATCAGCCCTGAGATCAAGGAGAAGGTCGGCATGAAGCTGAGGGAGCAGCACGCGCCTATTGCGGAGCAGTTCACTAAGATTGCGCTGGAGCACATCAAGCGCTGGCTGCGCGGCAACACGAGCACGCGGGACCTCGGCGACGGCGTCAAGGGTGAGATTGAGGACCAGGTCAAGGATTTGGTTAAGGGGCTTGGTGGCCTGTTTGGAAACAAGAAGAGCTCGCAAGAGGGTAGCCGTGCTATCGGTGATCGCGACGGTCCCGAGGGTGAAGGCGAGAGGGGTGGCTTCTCCAAGGTCATTAGCGACAAGCTCAGCACGGGTCTGGCAAAGGTACACAGGGAAGTCCGTCTGGAGTTCCGCAAGATCCTCGGCGCCATCGAGAAGCAGCTCTTTGAGATCCTGCCGGACGCCTTCCAGCGACCACTGGAGAAGATTCTGGGCGGAAACCCATTCGACTCTCAGCTCGACCACGACGCTGGCGGTCACGCGGACCGCGGGTTCGGAGATGACATCAAGGTGAAGCTGGTCAACAAGATCCGAGCCCTGGTCCGCAAGGTGCAGGAGACGCTGCGCGAGAGCATCCTCGGCGTCGTCAACGGTGGCCACCGCAAGTTTGAGCGCGAGAGCTGGGTGTTTGTGCAGAACATTGTCGAGCAAAAGGTGCAAAAGTACCTTCCCAAGGTCAAGATCAATGTTCCGGATGATATTGGCAATGAGAATGTTAGCGTTGGTGCACCCACGGCGGGATCGCAGCTCGGTGGTGAGCATCACTCGGGTCAGTCCCAGGGCCAGGGCCAGAACCAGAACTACGGCCAGAGCCAGAACTACAATCAGAATTACAACCAAAACCAGAACCAAGCTTACGACCACAGCCAGGGTCAGAACTACGCAGGAAACCAGAGCCACGGAGGGAACCAAGGTCATGAGAGCGGCCAAGGCTACGGTGGAAACCAGGGCTATCAACAGAACCAGGGGTACGGCGAGAACCCGCGTTACTAAAACGTCCTAGGCATAGGAGACAAAGTCCAACGGCATCAGAGGGAATTTGCATTTGGACAAGGAAAAGGATATCATCGGGGCTAGATTGATCCATAAGCGGCCATTTTGCCCTGATAGCTCAAGCTAACGAATCATGAAAAGAAACCCACCGAATCGCACCTTCGTGACCTACTTCCCATCTCCCCTCGCCATCTTCAGCGCCTCCTCCATCTTCTTCTCAAGTTGAATTCCAACAAGCACATCCAACATCCTCACAAACTTGCCCCGATCCCCCTCAACCGCATCAGCCAACTCCTTCGCACCGCTACCCTCCTGAATGACACCAAACTCTGACAGCAGCCTCAAGAGATCTCTTATCAGCATAAGGAAACACCTCCTCCCACTCCTCCTGCACCCTCCTCAAAAAGATCCCAGCACCAGTCGGTCCAACGCCTTTAATCCCATCAGTCAACACCTTCTCAACCTTCTTCTGCGCCTCCTCGGCCTCCATCCCCTTGACCATCTCCCTCAACGCCGTCATCTTCTCAACATCCCCTTCGTCTTTCTCTCCCTTTCCCTCTTCCTGTTCACTTTCATCATCATCACCCCCCCGCCACAAATCTTCCTCACCCCCCCAACTAAATCCCCCAACTGAACAGCAGTCTTCTCCTTATGCTGCGTCCTCGCCTCCCACATCACCTTCCTCCGCCCCTCGAACCCAGCTTCGTCGAGGTCCCGCGGCGTCCGCAGGCCGAGACGGTGGGAGATGGGTTTGCTTAGGAGGAGGGCGGCCACGAGGTTTTGGAAGGGGGTGAGGGTGGAGTCTGGGTAGGTTAGACTGGGTGCTTTGTCGTCATCATTGTATTCATTATTGCCATCGCTGTTATCTTCTTTCTTTGAGGCATTGATGGTGTTGGCTTTCTTCCCGGCGTTTTTGGGAGGAGGGTCTTTGCCGTGTTGGCCTTCATCCCAGTCGATTTCGCCTTGGCCTGGTGGGTGGGCTAGGAAGGCGAGGGAGAAGGCTTCATCGCTCAGGAGCCACTCCACCATTGCCTTTGCATTCTCAGTCTTGGCCCTTTTAGTATCGGGTTCATCATCCTCGTTATGGTTGGACGGCGAGGCTTCTGAGGCTTTGCGCTTGGTGCCGACGTCGGCGGCTTCATCGTCAGGTTTGTTGGACTTCGTTTCGGTTCGTGGAGTCATTGTGATCTTCTTATGCGGTTTATGTGCCAATCGATGGTGTGATAATTAGATTAGCCGAACTTGAATCATTGCTCGGCTTCAGGAATGAAATGAAGACGTCTACTTTTTGAGATGTGGTTGTAGACGGTAGGGCGGATGATGCCATGACTTCCGTGGAAGACGCCAAAGCGCGTCACTGCGCGTTGACGGGTTTTCCTTTTTTTGATCGTACATGATGAGGTCTTCTGCTGCTGTGCTCTGGTCACAGCATTCTGAAGAGTTTCATGGAATGTGGTAGTTCGCGACTATCGCTTGATCGCGGGCTCCCAGGTATTATTGACAGGGCACTAACAGACATCATTCACTTGTCACGAAAATTTTCAATGTCAATATGCGATGAGTGGTTTTGTTTCCGAAAGTACTTTGTGTTAAGCACCGCCATCCAGTCCCATGTAGCTTCAAGTAATTCTGAAGGCCATACGTCGCAACCACGCAGCTAGACATCAGCCGTCCAAGCCAAGAGAGGGGTATTATCAATCCAGAGTCCAGAAAGAGCAGTCACCCATCCATTTCTCCTGCCGAATCCAATGAACAAGATGAAGTTCCCAAAGTAGCTTGCGACCCATCTTTTTCCTCATCGGCATCCTTCTCCTTGCCGCCCTCAACAGCACCAGCCTCCTCCTTGGTAGCACCATCGCTATCCTCCTTCATATCCTCATCCTCCTGGTCAGCGGCCGCAGCGGCAGTAGCCACAGCGGCAGCAGCTTCCTCGGCACCTTCCTCCTCCTCGGCAATCTTCTTCTTGCGCGGGGTAGCAGTCTTCTTGGGGCGCGGGGTGGTGGTAGAAGCAGTGCCATTCTCGGTGCCACTGCCAGCGATTCCAGCAGCGGTACCGCCGGTGAACCAGCCGTGCTTAGTGGCGGCGCGGGTGAAGAGGGTGCGGGCGCTGGAGGCGCTGGAGAGGAGGCGCTGGAGAGGAGGCGCTGGAGAGGAGGCGCTGGAGAGGCCGGCCTCCTCGGTCATTTTCTCGAGGACGGCGGTGGTGGGGCGCTCCACGTGCTTCATCATTGCGAGGGCGAGCTTGAGTTCACCGTCGGTGAGGTTGAGGGTGCTGGCGGCCTCGGCGGTGGCGGTCTTGGGAGCCATTGTTGCGGGTTTTGTGGTGTTCCGAATGGGTTTCTGTTGAAGTTTGTGAGTAGATGGGTCGCGGTGATGAGGGTGGGTGTGATGAAATTCTCGTGATACTTACTGCGAAGGGTAAATGTGAGTAGTATGAAATGAATGACTATGAGAGAAGGAAAGAGAGAGATCTTGGACCTGAGAAGTCGGGGTATTTTGGGTCGAGAGTGAAGAAATATGGGTTGCGAGATTGCTATGCGAGTGATGTAGTGATGGTGGGTGGAAGTTATCGCTCAGTAAAAAGAAGAGAGGGCCTTTTATTCTCGCCCTATTAAGGATACGACATCGTCTAGAATCAGATTTTAGGCAGGCAGGCATAATGCGACTCGAGGAAGGAGCCTTCTTGAAAAACCTGCTTCCTTCCACGTATTGGCGAGGTTGAGATTTTCGGTCCCATCAAAGGGCGTTTTGTGAGCCACGAAACCGCAGGCTCCTGCATTTCGATGCATATTCCTACCAGATTAAACACTGTAGGATACTAAGGTCATCTTCAGATCAATTCTTTGAGACTTCATGACCGCGATACACCCCACACCTTTTTTGATAGTCACCCTTTCTCTTACTAGGCTCGAGGGGGCTATCGAGTAAGGTAGTAAAGTACAAGTCAGAAGACCCTTCCAAAACTTTCTATAAGGGTCAAGACTTCGCAGGAGAGACAGAATGATTAGGGAAGAGAGAAAAGGAGAAGGTGTCGGAATGTAGTGGTCGATATCGCACATCCTTTGAACCATGCCCGCTCAATTCGAGGGCGACTTGATTCATCTGACAAAGCATAAGACTCCATTACAGGTACCATGGCAAATGTGTCATGGTAGGCACCAAACTGGACTTCGAGGATCGAAATTCTACGACGTTGAAAGACTCATTTCATCACTACTGCCTGCATGCAACTTGAAGTTCTGATGATGAATATATGGAAAGTACTTTGACAGGGTATAAGGAAATGATATGTACTCCATAGATGATGTTATTACAAATTGTCGCTGAGACTTCTTATCTAAACAATGCACACTTGACTGTAAACACTCCCTTACAAGCCAACCGCAGAGCGGATAGCGTTGACAAGGATGTTGTTGTAGTCACCACCAGCCTCCCACATGGCGAAGCCAGCCAGCTTGTTGGATGTGACATATTTGCCCTTAGCGGTCAGGGACTGAACGTTGTCGTAGGAAACCCACACCTGAGCAGTCTCGTTGTAGAGGAAAGGCTATTTGTTATGTTAGTCACTATACAAGTCTGAGGATACCAGGAGTGGAGAAAGTGCTTACAGTCTGACTGCAGTTGTCGTAGCCGGTAGCGACGCTGTCGCGAGGCTTGCCCGTCTCGTCAAGGAACTTGCCCTCCTTGATCATGCTCCAGAAGGTGTAAGTTCCACTAGGGGGCGAAGCGGCGCCGCACTCATCGATGGATGGGTCATCGTCCCAGCTGCTGCCCTGGAATCGGTTGGTGCTGTTCTGGACAGGGTAGGCGTTCAAGACACCAGGGGAGGAGAAGGCGCTGGTAGAGTTGACGGAGAATCCGTGGCCGTAGGCACCGACGGCGAGAACGAGCTTGTTGGCGGGGATGCCGGCGCCAATCCACTTCTCAACACCCTCCTTGATACCGCCCTGGTTGTTGCGCGTGTCGCACGCCATGGCGAGGGGCGCGTTGGGACCTCCCGTGGCGGCCCAGGCGCCGTAGATGTCGTAGCCCATGATCATGAGGTAGTCGAGGGAACTAGCAAAAGACGAGAGGGTGCCGTTCGTGCTGGCGACATCGAGGGCGTTGTTCCAGGGGTTCAAGCTAGTGGCGGCAGTGAGGTAGAGCTGCTTGGTCTGCTTCTGGCGGAGCTCGGTGAGGAAGGAGGCAAAGTTTGCCGTGTCGTCCTTTGCAATGGTGTTGCAGCCGAGACCCTGGCGGTTGGGGTACTCCCAGTCAAAGTCGAGGCCGTCGAGGTTGTACTTTTCGACAAAGTCGAGGCAGGTCTTTACGAAGGCAGTTCTGTTCTCTGCGCTGCCGAAGGCGGTGCTGAAGTAGCGGCTGCCGGTCCAGCCTCCGATGGAGGCGAGGGCCTTTACGTTCTGCGGAGGTGTTAGTTTTGCTACATGTTGAAGTGATCTACGGGCAACTTACGTGCTCCTTGGCGGCCGCGACAAAGGCGGGAAGCTGGTCGGGGGCCGACTTTGCGAGGTTGAGGCTGCCGTCGGCGGCGGTCTCGGCGAAAGCGTACTTTGCGTCGGTGTACTTATCCCATGGCATGTCAGAGACGGGGAATCCGCGGTTTGCGTGATAACCCGCGAAATAGGTGGATGCGACAACGCCGGAGGTGTTGACGTTGCGCGCAGAGTAAGGCGCGGCGGAAGCGCCCACGGCCAACATGGCCGCGAGCGAAAGTTGAGCGAATGACATAATGCTGTTTGTGAATAGTAGAACGAAATAGAGCAAAAAGAATGTAGTGAAGTTGGAAAGATGTTCAGCTCGAGGCTAAGTTAGCAAACCATCAACATCCGGAGTTTGGGGTGACGGCTCTGTTTGGTTAAATAACTTCCCACTCGTCGTACGACCACTCGCGGCCAACACTGTTCACAACCTTGAGGAGTTGAGGAGCTCCCCCCCCCCCCCGACGGAGCACTACAATAGAGTTTACCATAGCCCCATGTTGACGAAGCAAACTAATTGCTTTTATGGGGCCGCTGGGACCAACGTCAACGGCAAACAGGCGCGCGAATGACTCGGAGCAGGGGGGCTGGGGCTGACGACCACTGCCGGCAGGGATCACCCAGATGACGCGAACCCAAAGGTTTGGTCTGATGTTCAAATTTTCTCTCTACGAGCTGTTCGGCCTTTTTTGGTACGGATACTCAGGGTGTTGAAGAAGATCGGTATGTTCATCTTGATAGGCTTGCGAGGTGCGTTTGTGCTCTATGCAGGAATGCGGACATACATGTAGCCCCTGAGCCCCGAGCGGGAAAGACCGGATCCCGTATTCTGCGCGTCTGCGTCTCTGCGGCGGCAGCCCTGTCGGTATGCGAAGTTGCGAACATGCACCCAGCACGAGCCCCCTATTCTTCGAAGGGCGGGCCAACAACAATGAAAGGTTTTCCTGGGTTCCATTTCGGTTCCAAGGATGCCTCTTGCGCCGGGCCGCCCGGGACGGAGCTGGGCACTTACGTCTGCTGCGCTGCACTGCATTCAAGCAACGGGAGATCGGACTGGGCGACTGACTGCCATATTGGGTTTTCCTAACTTGGGCTCTTGGAAGTCTGAGCCTTGGCCCTTGCGGGAAGGGGGAAGCATGGCGCAGTGAGTGGCCACGAAGGCGAGGTTGACAAGCCCGTCTATAGAGTTATGCCTCACAAAAGATGCCGTGCTCTCATGGAAATGCTGGGGATTGGTTGATGGGGATGAACTCTACTATGTGATGGAACCCTGGGGAGCTGACTGGACGGGACGCGTTGGTTCGTTTATTGCGTGTTGGTCGGCCGGTTGGTCTGAAGAGACTTTGGCAATCGGAGCAAGGCTTTCTTTCTTTCTCTCTCTCTCTTTCGGGCTTCGCAATCGCATGTTCGCGAACTATCTTTCACGAAGCTGTCGACCCCCTTTCAAGGAACAGCTTGGTTGTGGAAGGCCTCCCATTGCCCACCTGTGCCACCCTTCTCCGACTGCTCCCCCACGGTTTCGGTTCCACCTTGGCGGAGAGCAGTTCCTCAGGGTCGAAACTCTGGTTCTCTTAGTGTACCACCAAAGCAAAGATTCTGTCCTACGGATACTAGCCGTACAGAGTGCAGAACGAGTGGTTGAGCGGGCTGCCGAGGTCGAACATTCTGAAACTCTGGCTAAAAGCATTTCGTGCGTCTTCGGTGTTGGTTGGTGCCGTGCATTGCAGCCAGCGTTACATGGCGGCGTGCCTGGGGGGTGTCGACCGGCGGTTGACCCTCCGATCGGGTGAAGGAGAACAGCCAACAGATCATGAAAGGTGACAGGCCGACAGCAGCTGGGATTGTCGCTGTTGATTCCTTGCATTGCTGCCCGTATTCCATCAGTCAAATCATAAGCGGCCGTTGGTAGCCTTACAGGCGCAATAAACGCCCAGTCGGCCGGCGCGACGCCGCCCGCCAACGGTCCCCCGGCGCCCCGGAAGTGCCGTTTCCCATCTTGCAGGGCGCTTTTGTTGCCCCCGCTTTACCCCTGAGAGCCGCTTTTCTCGTTGTTCTCGTTGTTTTTCGTGAGCTGAGTCAGCTACCAGGATAGAGCAAGTTTTCTCTTTTTGGAGAAGTTGGGGATTGCAATGTTCATGTTCCCAGTCTGACTGCGAAATCATTCGACCATTTTTCGTCTTGTGTCTTGGCAGCACATCGGAAAATGACGACGCCAATATTATTTTCCGGCGGGGGCGATCAAAACTAATTGGACCCGCTGCGTTGCTGTAAAGTTTTTTTAAACCCGAGTGCGGTTGAGTTGCGAAAACGTATCGTGTCTCCCACGCGATTCCTGCGTCAATTAGGATGGACAGGGTAAACCTAGAGCGCACCCCGAAAGCTTTGGCTAAGGGGATGCAAGAAAAAGTTACTGATGCAGAAATCTGCTTTCAGGAGAAGTCGTCGTCGACTTATCGCTGACATCACTCTCAATTCGGGTCAAACATCCGTACCTAGGCTATGGGCACGCCTTGCTTGGATCGTGAGAAGTGAGCTAAGGGAACAGCTATCATCGTCTGAAGGTCCAATCTCACAGTTCTATCAAGAAAAAACTGATATTTTCTCCAACGCTCTTGAAGAGCTAGTGTATTGAGTGCCGTGCGATCATGGATGAAATACGAGATCGGGTTCACGGTGATGCTGGCAACCCTATGGAGCCGTAATTTACTAAGCTTTGTTGACACAGGGATAACGATGAACCGTGATGATCATGTCTATTTCTAGCAAGCATTCGGCGAGAAAGCCCTGTTGATCAAGTACGAATTTTGCTCTTCGAAATGCTTTTACAGTTACTTGATTGAAAATCATCTGTGGTCGTTCCTCAAAGTTCAAGATACTTTATTCCGTCAGGTTACTTAGGCACAAAAGACAAAGCTTATTTATTGTACGCGCCTAACTAAGGTTTAGATCTTGGGCGAAGAGTCTCTCAACATGCTATCAACTGCAGCTAACGCGATTTCATCACACCACCCGTCAAATAGAAAATCGTTGGCTCCCTATCCCGTTATCTTCATGTACTGCTAGACCTTTGACATAACACGAAAGCATGCGCTGCTCTAGAAGACCGCAGTCTGCGATTGGAATTTTATGCTGAGGATGAGCTAGCCTAGATTCTGTGATCGAACTTTTGGCAAAGTGGCGAACTGGAACTCTTACTCCGGGACGCTGGGAGTCCCGCAGACTTCAAAGAGACTATGTTTGGCAAATACCGATTATACCGTATGCAAGGGCGTCGTGGAAATAGGGTAAGGATATGAGTATACCTGTCAAGTTGGGGTTGTTGACGCAGGGTGGAAGCTCTCAGAGGCCAACTGCAGTTAGGGGTAGAATGATGAATTACTGAAATCTGCTCCTCCCCCGACGTGTACTCCCTGCGCTGTATATATATCTGAGCTGCTCCTTTGTTGCTTGGACTCCTTACTACCTCTAACTAACCCCTATCCGGGAGGGCTCCCTACCAGCAGAAGCGGCGGTCACAGGAGGCTCTTCGGTGTTCAGGCCTCTATCCCTCCCCAGCCTGTCGTACACGGGCAAGTCGGCAAGGGACTTGCAGAGCTTTCTGTTCGACTGTTACTACCGCTTCGACTTATGGGCGCAACAGATGAAAAGCGACCGCGACAGAGTAGCTTACGCAGTGAGCTGCCTACAGGGAAACGTCAAGACGTCATGGATGCATTACATCTTCGACCGGAGACGCGACGTCGGGTTCACCATGGACCAGATCACCTGGGCCGAGCTAGAGACCTTCCTCCAAGACAACTTATCGGACCCTGCAAGCCGCGGAGTAGCGGCGAGTATACTTCTCGACAGCGCCTCCCAGGGCGCAAAGGAGAAGGTGGACGAGTTCGTCAGCCGCATCGACGGGCTAGAGATAGAGCTTGACTACGTACCCACAGAGAAGCAACGGATTTCTACCCTACTAAGCAAGTTACGTCCTCAACTCCGCCACACCATCACGTCGTAAATAGGACTCCCTCGTACAAGGATAGAGCTAGTATCGCTAGTAAGACGGATCGAACAATCGGCTTTATTAATAGGTGATAGGTAGACCTTACCTCCTAGATATACGGACCAGACGATGGCAGGTATAGCGACGCGCCGCCGCAGTAACGAGCAAGCGACTTCGGGCAGGGTACGCCGCACATCTCTAGGTAAAGACATTAACTACTATAACTATAGGGAGGCGGGATATATCGCTAGAGACTGCCCTAGGCCGAGGGAGCAGTATTAGCAGTGCTATAACTGCGGAGAGACGGGGCACCTTACCAACGCGTGTCCTAACATGGTGTGCCGGAAGTGCAACAAGAAGGGACATAAGGCGGCTAGCTATCGTAGTGACACCGCTAGAGGCGAGCAACGGGGACCTGCTACAAGTTCCAACACAATCCCCGTAAGGAACATAGGAGCCGAGCAATGAGGGCGGCGCTTAGACATCCCGACCCATGTGCGTCTCAACAACACATGGGAGAAGCTAACCGCCATTATCGACTCGGGAGCCGAAGCCAACGTAATCAGCTAGAGTCTCGTACGGAGCTTTAAAGCCAACCCACGGATCTACCCATCGCAGAAACTAGTAGACGTCGACGGCAATACGGTCAAGACACTAGGCAGCTGCTACCTTCGACTCAGGACTACGGACAGCGACAACTTGACGGAGACTCAACTACATCGCTTCGTTATCGCAGATCTCGCGACACCGACCCTCATCCTAGGATTTCCTTGGCTAGAAGACGTCGACCCGCTAATCAGCTAGAAACATAAGAAGTAGCGATACCCTATCTATGAGAGACATATCCGCTTAGACGGACTATCTAAAGGGCTACCTAACGACTTATAATGTACGGCAATAGCGTACATAGCTATCAATCTAATCGCCGACGAGAGCCTTATCCCCTTACTAACGGTAGAGGACTAGAGACTACGATATAATAAATTCCACGACCTTTTCTTAGAGGAGAAGGCTATCTTACTACCCGATAGAGCACCTTACGATCACCGTATCGAACTAGAGGACGGTGCGACTATACTATGGGGACCAATTTACCCACTATCAAATCACGAGTTAGAGATCCTACGAGACTACCTAGTAAAGGCAGAAGCCAGGGGATGGATACGACCGTTAACGAGCCCCGCTGGCGTACCGATATTATTTGTTCCGAAGAAAGGAGGGGAGCTACGGCTTTGCGTCGACTACAGAGCTATTAACAAGATCACAAGGAAAGACAGAACGCCTTTACCGCTGATTGGCGAGATACTCGACCGCTTGTCCAACTCAGCGGTCTTTACCAAATTGGACCTCAAGAACGCTTACCACCGCATACGTATAGCCGAGGGCGACGAGTGGAAGACCGCGTTTCGCACTAGGTACGGTCATTTCGAGTACCTCGTAGTACCATTCGGCTTGACCAACGCCCCGGCGACCTTCCAAGCGCACATCAACAACGTTTTAAGCGGCCTAGTCGATACCATTTACATCGTGTACTTAGACGATATCTTAATTTACAGCAGCAACCACGACTCGCACGAGGAGCATGTGAAGAGCGTCCTCCACCGCTTACGGCAATGGAACCTGTATCTCAACGGTGGTAAGTGCGAGTTCCACACATTACAAGTGGGCTTCCTAGGGTATATCGTATCGAAGGACGGAATCGAGATGGAACCAGGACGCACCGACGCCATAGCGAACTGGCCGCTCCCAAGGAGCGTCAAGGATATCCAGACGTTCCTGGGCTTCACCGGATTCTACCGAAGGTTTATATCCGACTATGTAAAAATTACGTTACCCCTTATAGACTTACTTCTTAAAGCCAAGCCAGGACCATTGGAGCTACTATTCGATATAGTCGAAGCGTTTAGGACTCTACTTAAGGTATTCACCAAGGCTCCTATGCTACGATACTTCGACCCAGCGCTATAAACGCGGCTCCAAACGGACGCTTTAGCAAAGGCAATCGGATCCGTTATTATATAACTCTTCGAAGGGAACTGGCACCCGATAGCTTTTAAATCAAGGAAATTAACGGACATTAAGAGCCGCTACGGAACGGGCGATGTAGAGCTACTAGTAATCATTAACGCACTATATAACTAGCGCGACTACCTCGTATATAGCTAGAACGCAATCACAATTTTTATAGACCATTTCAACTTATAATTCTTAGTTAGATATAAAGAAGAGGCCTAACGGGAGACAGTTACGCTGGCTCGACGAGCTAGCGGCGTTTAATATAGAGATACGGTTTAAACCAGGCGTTGTAAACCTAGTAAATAGATTATTAAGACGGCCTAACTATAGCGAAGGAGGCTATGTTAACGGTGCGGAAGAGCTGCTCGAATAGATGAGGATTAAGCTTTATAATGTAGAAGAAGCTTGGAAGCTACTACGGGTGGCACTGTTCACAAGGGCGTAAGGGCGTCGTAGGAGCGGCTCGAAAGATAAGGAGTCAATTATATTACGGAGAAGTAAGAGAAGGAGGGTAGGAGCTCCGGCTCGAGATATAGCTCACGAGGAGCCCCTCGAGAGGCGCAACGGGGCTACGAGCCCAGGGCGTTAAAGAAGCGGCGTAGCACTCAGGGAGTTACTTAAGCCTGCCGCTAGAACTGCAGATCGCAAGCTACTCATTCTACGGGATCCCGAAGGCAGGGGAATACCCAAAACAGCGCTATATAGCGGCGAGTTACTAATGATAGGTCAACTACGAGTAGCCCAACAAGAGGACGCTTTTGTTCAGGAACGCCAGTGGACCAGGAGGCAACGACGCCCTCGCCAAGCTGGAGGAAAGCAACGAAGGAGCTAGGGCTACGACTCGAGAGGCCTGCTGTGCTACGGCGACCGAGTCTACGTCCCAATGCACCGGGGATTAATGAGAGAGGTCATAGAGGCATACCACGATGCGCCGACGGCGGGCCATTACAGCGTCAAGCGAACGATGGCTCTGCTTAAACGCTACTACTACTGGGACGGGGTAAGTAGAGACGTAAAGAACCATATTAACACATGCATAGTATGCCAGAGAACAAAGCCACGTCACCACAGACCCTACGGCCTACTACGACCTCTGCCAGCACCTTTAAGGCCGTGGCAGGAGATATCCCTCGACTTTATCACCGGCTTGCCAGCATCGACAACGCTGATAGGAAAGAGGCTATGCGATGCGGTACTAGTAGTGGTCGACAAATTTACGAAACATAGCGTCTACATAGCTACCAGGGCGACGCTCATAGCGCAAGGGTTCGCCGATCTACTGTTCGTAAGGATTTTCACCAAGTTCGGCGTCCTAGAAGGCATCGTCTTAGACCGAGGATCCCTTTTTACGAGCAAGTTCTGGACTTACCTATACTACCTCCTAGCTACTAAGAGATGCCTAAGTATAGCCTTCTACCCGTAGACGGACGGTCAAACGGAGCGACAGAATCAATATCTCGAGCAGTACCTACGCTACTTCTGTACTTGAGACTAATCCGACTAGGCTCAGCGCCTTCACCTCGCTAAGTTCGTATATAATAACGTATAATATTTAGTAATCCGAAAAGCACCCGCAGAAGCTCTCTTCGGCTTCCTGCCGAAATGCCTAATATCATTTCTAATAGGAACGAATAAAGGGACGTAGAATGTCTCTGCCGAGGAGCGGGTAGTATACCTATGAGTAGACCAAGTCGCTTTATAACTACTACTACGGAACGCCAGAAACGTATACGAGAACCAAGCTAACTGTCGGAACGGCAAGGCTGATAAGGAGCAATGGGCAGGTATCGTGGGCTGGCTGGCGCCTGCCCTGGGCGAAGTGGGACAACTGGCTTAGTCACCACGGCCGGTTAAGGTGGGGCAACCACCCAGGCCGTCACCACCTACTTCGACCGACCCCTGCCCACAATGTAAAATAGGAAGGAACAAGAACAACAACAGCAATTATCACGGACATCGACGTGATTGTTGCCGAAGATACACCCTCATGAGGAAATGTATCACGCCTGTGATACCAACACTAACAAATCTAGGGTCGATAAGTCGTATAAAGTAGGCGATTGGGTTCTGTTATCAGGAAAGAATATACGGAGGTAGCGACCGAGCCGCAAGCTAGCTGATAAGTACCTGGGACCCTTCATGATCAAAGCGATCATTGGGACCTCGGGAGTCGCGTACGAATTAGATATACCACGATGGTACCGGATCTATCCCATCGGGTGCGGATGGACGCCATTTTCGCCAAGCCCCAAAATACCCACTACTTATCCACTATTACCGCGCATTTAAAGGGGTACTTTGATGGTACGTCATTTATCCCTATGCTCTGTTACCTATTATCACCACAATTACTACCAATTTGATTGATGCTGTAATGTCTCCTAATGATTCTGATTCTGATGCTTCTATTACTTCTGTACGCAGCTGTATAGTAGTTGAGGTCCTTCCAGAAGACCTTACTGCTGCCTGCAATACAGACTGTACGCCCGAGCGCTGTGACGCAGCAACAGTCCGGCCCTGCGAACCTCCGGCTACCGAGCATGGTCTTCCGGGCTCCTTCCGGCCCTTTAACGTGCCGGCCACTCGAAGGACAACACGAAAGGGCTGCTAAGACTGTAATGTACCGTTATGTATTGATAGAGATTGCTGGTACCTTTGGCACACCCAAAATCTATAGAGATTGGAGGTACTAGAGATCTATTGGTTAACTTAAAGGGTTTCCAGGCCCTTATTGGCTCTACCCCGCCCTTGGCGAAAATGGCGTCCATCCGCACCCGATGGGATAACGTGTTCTACGTATCACTTCTGGAGCCTTACCGACATTGCGAAGGAGCACCTCGAAAGCCATTACCTATTGGCGATATCGACGGCGAGCCCCTTTACGAGGTAGACAAGATCATTCAACATAGGGGGCTAAAAAAGAAGAGACAATACTTGATCAGGTGGAAGGGTTATGGCAGCGAGGAGGACACGTGGGAGCCGGCATCATACATCGAGGACGCAGCTCTAATCAGCATATACGAAAATCGGGTATCGATTGGGCGACGAGCCCTAGCTCCTAATGAACCCAAAGAAGCAGCTAACTAGCTGCTAAGAAGACCCCTAATCAGGAAAGAAGCTCCTCCAGAGCCACATATGCGCAGCGCGGGAAACCCTCACTCGGCACTATTAGCACTATCGTCCTCCTCCAACTGGTCCTCGTACTGCTCCCCCTGCTGGGCGAGCAGCTACTACTGATAGATATAAATAATCGAATTAGGAGGATATACGTAGCGTAGACAGGGCGACTTACCTACGCTATTATGGCGCCTATACGGACGAGCTTATCAAGAATAGAGCGAAGAAGCTGCGCCTCAGCATCGCTGCGGTTCGAGGACGAATTACAAGAGGCGCTACCACGCTATGACTTATTATTGCTATCGTCGAGACCCAGAGTGGAAATAGCAGAGCGACCGGAGCGCTTTAGCGCTTTCTGCGCGTTTCCCACCGCTATACAGTAGGTATTATAGGCCTACGGATTATTAGCAAAGAACACGAGCAGCGACAAAGCAACGACAAAACAACGACATACGTCCTCATCGCGGCGGTCCTGGTTAGACGCGCGCGCGGTGCTCCAAAGCGCGCGCACAGCAGAGAGGGCGGTGTGGGGGACCTCATCCTTGCAAGAGTGGTTCTGATTAGTACACTCAACGCATCGAAGTCCTTTTCCTAAGAATCTAGTCAGCAACAGCAGCTAGAAAGTACTTATAGAGCACCTACCAAGCTAATCGAAGCATTCATGCTCCGGA